TTGTTCAGATTCAGAGAACATTATAACATTTTTGCGCGATATAATAAGCGGCAGTTGAAACATGTGTATTTTCGGTGCTCGAAGAAGGAATATCGGTTTTAGAACTTTTGGAATACGTTGGGTAGAATATAAAACGAATAAGATTGGTGGTTTATATCTGCGTTCTGATTACTGTTTGTACTAGCTTCACATCAATGCTTTCCATCTAATAAACTTTTTGCCACGTAGAAAAATTTACGCGATTTACGGGCAAAAATGTCCAAATTATTCTTAATTCTCTATTTTGACAACAGACTAGAGAATCTAATGTTTATATGTTCATCTGTAGAGCACATTAAACATTTAAATTACGTACATCTTCTACGGGAAAAAGATGGTTGACCTTTTCCTACATGTTTTACAAAATCAAAAATGTCCTCACACACAGGTGCATCTTCACACTCACACACACGCATAACAACTAAGCTACGTAACAACCAAAAACAACAGGAAAAACGCGCATTTATATATGATCACACACATCGAGGATTTTAACGAAAAGAAAGAAATGATGATATATGATCGAAGATATCACTTCCAGGGAAAAAGAAGGAAGAAAGAGAACGAAAAACATACTGTGAGGACACTGCCCGTAACAATACCAACTATTTAAATTATAAGAAAAATCTATAAATTATGAATGACAGACAAGCAAATGTTCTTTGATCATGTCATGTTTCAGGAGGCATATGAATAACAGCAACAGCATATGGACTTAGTGTTATTCTACTCGATGTTAATGTTACTTCAGTAGCTGGTCCAAAACCAGATGCTTCATTCACAATTTGCATTCGATCACCAGTACATCCAGGTAAAAATACATCAACATTAGCATATCGTTTATTAACAATCAAAACCCATCGACGACCATTTTTACCTACAAATGCTTGACTAAAAATATTTTCTCCACTAACATCACTTGTTTGTGTTATAACTCCTTCATCATTATCAATATCAACTGTTTCAATAAGAAGTTTTGATGTCCAATATTTAGCTGTTCCTTCACCTGTAGTCCAATTAAGCATAGCAACACTTGGAAATTGTGGCTGAAGTTGAAGATCAAGTAGTTCTGGATAACCTATCAATCAAAATAAAAGAAGATTCACATGAAAATAATATATTGTGCAATACTAACCAACAAGTTGACTATGACCAACAACATCGATTCCTTGTCGAGATATTTTAGCCCATGAATAAGCATAGAGTGCAGCTGCAGCATTCCAATATATCATAGGAAATTGAGGTGCTCCTGGTGTATTATCATCAGGAAGTATAACTCCTACTTCATCAATAGTTGTTCTTGTTTCTGGTGAAAGAAGTTTTCGAATTTCTTCTATTTGTTCAACTTCAAATGTAAAAGTATCAAGTTGACTAAAAAGTGTTTCCCAATCTTTTGGATCGGTTCGAGAATTAGCTAATGCATAGAAATGATATGAGATCATATCAAGTGGAATATCAGGTGCATGATTAGAATGATTAAGAAAATATCGATACCAATCAAATTCATTATGTCCTACAACAAATATATTCATTAGAATAATCTTCAAATATTAAAGAAAAAGACAGACCCATTAATGCCATTCCAACATATTTCATATCATCGTTATTTGTATGTCTTCGAATTCCTTGAATAACTGCATCATATGCTCGAGTATAATATTCAACAGTCATCTGATGTTCTGATTCAACTTCATTGAATATTTCTGTATAATCCCAATTATATTCATAGTTTGATATATGTTTTCGACCATATTCATCAATAAAACTACCTCGAGTATACCATGCAAAGAGACGTCCATAATAATCACCTAATGCTTGCATTGTGTCATCAACTAATCCTGTACCAACTGGATATCCCCAATCAGTTAATGAAGCATTATCACGATAAATATGGGGTGTATCTTGTTTGAAAAGCCAAGTTGGTTGAGTACAAAATAAAATGATGCGTGAATGTCCATCAGTAGCATCGAGAAAATCTTGTAACATTGTATCAAGATAAGTGAAGTTATAATAAGTATTATTTTGAGGTGGATCACATTGAATTTGAATAAGTAATCGTTTCATTTTGTCTTTACCTAAAGAAAACGAAGTCTTTTTTGAAAATCTTGAATTATGAATTAATGAAAATCATTTCGAGTGAAAAAACAAAATGAAGTCTAGAAAATCTGAAATAATTTGTTAATATTAAATCTTCATATTGACTTAAGCGATGGTTTTTCTCAAATGTATTCTTTCATTAATATTTTAGAAAGAAATTGATTTATTTATCTGTGTATTAGAAGCTATTCTCTATTAAACAATGCCTGAATTATGGTTAAGTGATAACTTATATGTAGTAAGTAGTATTGACAGTATCACAAAAATTGGATTTGATTATTTCATGGACACTTACACAACGTTATTTTCTCTAGGGAAAAGGTTCTTAATTCCTCCATTAAAAAACTTACATGGATCACCAAAAAGATTATTCGTTGCGGGAACATTACATGTTTTTTGTCCAATACACACTCGTTGAACAATTTCTGAACTATTCGCTGCATGACATGTTCCTTGTTTCATTTGACCACATGCACCACTTGATGTTCCATATGATGCAAAATCAACTTTACTTATTACTCCACCATTTTGTTCACATGATAAATTTATTGAAAAATTCTCACCAACATTACCACACTGATATAAACCTGATGGAGGATCAAGTTCAGCAACAGCTAATTTTGGATAAGGAAACCAAGTAGCATATCGAGTATATTCAGCATTGAGCTCTTTCAAACTAGCAAAAATTTGTTTGTAGATAGGTGAAAATTGTCGAGCTAAAAGAGGATTGGTGACAACTTGTAAAGTTGGAATAGTATAAAGATCATAGTCATGTGTAATCCAAGATACCTCAATAAGAATAGGATCAGCATTAACTTGATGATCTTGAAATTTGTTGGTTTCAAATGTTGGTAACAGATAGACAATTTGGAGAGTTAGGCAACATAATAAGAATGTCAACACACATTCTTTCATATTCATTGTCAAGAATGATATAAAATCTATAGTTTGTGAGGGGTTAATAGAAGATATCTACAACTTGTTTTTTTCATCTCCAGGTGGTTAAAAAGAAGGATGGAAATTCTAATGATAGTTGACCGAAAACATATCTATAGTTATATTATTACTTTGAAACTGACGTTTTTTATTGGCTAGTATTTATTTGAGCAATAGAAATACTGCAATGGGCAGTAATTAAAATACGATTTAGCAATAATTTTCGAGCAACAAAAAAACTTTATTTGAGCAATAATTTTTGAGCAATAAAAAAATTTTATTTGAGAAATTTTAGATTATTAGAGGTACAATAAGTAATTTATTAAGTAGCATTAGTAATTTCATATTTTGAGAATAAAACAAAGAAAAACTGCATTATTTTATATGAATTAGAGAAATAAAAAAAGTTATTTATAATTGAGAAAAAAGAAAAATAAAAAACAGTATATTATTGTGTGAATAAAGCTTTTTTTGCTTTAGATAGTCTGTCTCGTTTTCTTTTTATATTTTATTTTGTAAAATTGAAAAAATACGTCTTTGTATATATAAGTGAATTCATATTGCCCTTTGTTAAGGGATGATTGATCTAACATATCAATACTGAACTACTACTTTATTGGAGAAATAATAATTATGCATATAAATGAGCTAGGAAAAAACCAACACTCCCTAGACACAAAACATGACGAAGAAGGAAATATACCTGAACAACATCAAGAGAAGAGAAATATCCAAGTGAGGGAAACGAAAGAAGAGAGAAAAAAAGAGATATAAACGACTCACACTATAATATCCTTTTTATATAAAATCTACCTTATATAAAATTTACCTTTAACCTAAATAAATTACTGCTTCTTTCATATAATTATTGCTAGATTTCATTACTACTCATTTTATTTTATTTTATAGCTAAATTTCATTATTGTTCATTTAAATTATTTTATTGCTTGATTAAATGTAAGTCTTTTCTATTATTCATCAAAGTGCACCTAAAAACTTGCATCACATAGAATTATCAGAAGAAACTAAGTCTATTTCATATTTTACATTCGATAAATAATTCAAATCGATGCAACTAAAATTTTCATGAAGACAAAAAAGTTCATTAGTTAGAATTTTCGAATTCAGTTGTTGAAATTAATATACAATGTTATATCTGAACCATATTGAAATACACAAAGAAAAAAATATCCATCGAACAAAGGAACATAGCATTTTGCTTAGGAAAATTTATTATATAAGGCACTTCTCGAAATAGACAATCTCTTATATTAGAAATTTGATCTAGAGGGATCGATGTAAAAGACATATTAGACAGTCCAAGAGTTCTATTGTGTGTCCAGAGAATTTCACTTATTGAAGCAAAGCTTAGCAGATGCTATTACATTAGAGTTTATTACAGATTAACAAATTTATATTTTTTCTGATCCTAATATCAATATATGGTGTGGGTGTGTGAGTTTTCTCTTTAGTAAGACTCACACAAAAGTCATATTAGTAGCTCCGCCTAAAGGTTGCATAGTTGGACATTTTCAAAGCCCTGAGTGGCTTCGATTACAACGAGAGTTTTACTAATGGTTGTGTGGAATTTGCTAACTTGTCCAATGTTCGCTGGAATCTTTATAATAAAAAAAAAACTATGATAATTCCAGTTTATCGATAAACCACAGTGAAATGAAACGAAAATATCGATGAAAATCTAGATTTTTAACAATTCATCCCATTTTTCATCAGAATTTCAACAATCTTTTTATTATCAAAACTCATGTGACAAAAGTCCGATTTAGCATACTAGAAAGATATAAGATTGATGTAGAACAGAAAAATATTTTATTATGACTAAAAAAGAAAACTGTTTAAAATTTGTTTTGCACTAAATAAGAAGTATATGTTATGCACTAGAAAAGTTTCTAAAATAATATTTCCATTTAAAATGGTGTTTTTTTTCTATTAGCCAAATATGCAGCAATTTTTGGTAATTTTTCTACAGCTTCACGATGTTTTTTCAATGTAGAAAATTTATTCAACACTTGATCATCCATGTCAAGAAGATTTTCAACCGTATCATATATTACAAGATCAGCCCATGTTACATTATCACCAACAGCCCATACACCATTACCATACATTTTCAAGAGTTTTTCAAGCCCTGCTACTTTTTCTGGTACAGTTTTAGTTACAAATTTTGTTTTTTCTGTTTGTTTTTCATCTTCATCCTTGACTTGAAAACGTATTCGATAATAATCTTGATTAAATTCATTCATTGTATCAACAATAACATCACATTTCATTGATTCGAGGTCATCTTTACCAGTAAGTTTGAATTGTCGAGCAACATAACGTGCAATAGCTAATGATTGAGGAAATTGTTGACCATTAGTTTCTTTAAAAAAAAAATTTAGTAAAACAAGAAAGTTTCAATAATAAAATAAATAAAAATACCTAGTAGAGGAATTTGACCTAAAGGCATATCATTTTTCTTTTTTGGCCATTCATCAAAACTATAACGAACATCTTCAAATTTCTGACCAGCATAAGCAAAAATCAAACGAATTGCTTCACCTCGACCTCGACCATCAAAATAATGAAGTTTATATTGAGTTGACGATGACATTTTTTTTTGTAGTATTAATCAGAAAAACTGAAGATACGGTATGAAATCTAACTGAAAACAAATTCAAGTAACTAAAACCACGAATTCTTTCTCTATATATATATCTGCACACACCCACCTTGAATTTGCAACGTCATTCAAAAAAGCATACAAGAGTGACAGAGCAAAAGATAAAGACGTCGGAAGAAAGCCTAGAAAGAAAAAAAAATAAAAGGAAGGATTTAATATCTAGAAGGTTCGATAAAGTGCAAAATGACAACCAATAGAAGACATTGTTGTCTTTATTAAAAGTACAAAGTTCAAGAAATTCGATAATAGGTACTTATAATATAACAGTAAATGAGAATTGTATGTGTGTCAACAATTGAAAATTTGAGCAAATTTTTTCGATGCTTTTTTTTATATGATTGGATAAAACTCGTCAGTTTACCTTTTAGAATGTTGTTTTAAACATATTGTTTCATTGCTGAGAAATTCGATTTTTTCGATCTAAAAGTAAAATGCCATAAATAAGAGTTTGTATTTAGAGATTTTAATTAGCAGAAATTCAGTTTCAAATGAAATGAACATTATATTTTAGAAGTCACTATTATTTTTGAATTATCTGACCTGTACTTCCCATAAACACTGAAATTTAATGACAATTAGTTTTAAGTATTTGAGTATTTTATTCGATGCAGAATTTGCTGATGATTCTGACGACGAACTCGTATTTATGACATCTTATTTTCAGATCGAAAAAAACTGAATTTCTCAACAATGAAACAATATTTTTCAAAAATCATTACCAATTTTTTCTAATTATATGAAGAGTAAAATAAAAAATAAAATTTCGGATAAATATAGAAGGTACCCACGTCATCAAAATGGAGGAAAAATCGGACGATTTTATCACGATTTATTAGGTCGATTAATCGTGGAATTATATCACGATTAAATCACCTAAAGTGACGAGTTTTGCCCATTTTTTTTCACGATTATTCAAATACACGGCGATCGATAAATAACACTACGATAAAGATAGTTAAATACTTCCGCATCCTTTTTTGTTAGTTTTAGAAGTTTATTCAAACTTATTTTTCAAAGATTAACATAAGCAAATATTATCGTTACGTATTAGTTTTCGTATAATGAAAGAAATTTGATATATTATCAACTAAAAAAATACACATCTAACGTTTCACAGATAATTTTCAGTTGTCAAATAGAAGAATAATAAGAAAAAGTCGAAATCAACTTTATAAGTGGATCTGTATTGGTGCACATAGAGCAAGCTTTTAAAACTATGTTAGTTTAAGTATCAACGAATACAAAATTTCGAGTTTTCAAACATGAAAACACTTGTTTTTTACAAGAAACTTCATGTTTTTGGTACTCGAAAGGTTGCATTTGTGTATTTTATTTATGGGACACAAATTTTAGAATTTAAAATGACTAGTTTTAAACATTTGTTCTATGTACACCAATACAGATCTATTCATAGAGTTTATTTTGACTTTTTCTTATTATTCTCCTATTTGACAACTGAAAATTATCTGTGAAACACTAGATGTGTATTTTTTTAGTTGATAATGGATCAAGTTTCTTGCATAATATGAAAAATGATATTTAGCAATCATATTTGCTTATGTTATTCCTTGGAAAAAAAAAGTTTAAATGAACTTCTAAAACTAACAAAAATATTCGCCTATTTAATGGAACCGATGTGAAGATATTTCGCTTTTTTTTAGTACTATTTATGAATTATCCTACAATATTTTCAATAATTTGATGTGGTCCTACTATTCAAATTTACGACTATGGACACATTACGACATGTATATACTACCGTTGTTTATCATCGTGCTCATACATGTGTTTGATGAATGAGGAGAAGGATGATTTGTTTCTCTCCATCTGCAATTAATAGCTCAAAAGAGATTTTTTTCAGTTGAATAACACTTACCGATCATTGAGATGATTTGAAGATCTAAATAAATGAAAAAATTTTTTTATAAAAGAGTATTCATTGTTCATTTTGATGATCAAACGACCGAAACATAAGTGTCACACATTTGTTTACAGTATTGTCAGTATATCGTGTTACTTATAAGAATCGCCAGTATACTGACGATACACCAGCGGTAGCGCTTAGTACTTTCGCTTTCAAGTACAGTCGATTGTAGAGTGTTTTATACTCAAATTCGAGTGTATTGCTAGAAAGAATTTAAATTCATGAAGAAAAAAAACAGTTTCACAATATGTTTGGTTAATGAAAGCTTTCGCAACGCTATCTATAATTAAAAAAATTTATCTCAATCAGAGTTGTGGCCGATTAGGACTCTATAGCTACTACAGACAATTCAGAGCCATCAACATCAATTGAACTACATAGAAATCAATTTCAATCTGTCAGTTTTAATGACCTTCAAAAGTACATTCCTATTTTGATAGAATACATCATGGTACACTATTCAAACAAAAGCTGCCATACACCACCAGTTTTTGTCCGATTCGAATCATATGAGTTTCCACTTTGACGATCAGACGATTTGAATAAAAAAGTTTTTTTTAATGAAATAATACTTACTAATGAAGTCTGTTGAAAGATCGCTAATTAATCGCGATTGATCGACGATTTGTCTCACTGTTAAAACATCAAGATTAATTCGCGTTAAACCACCGATTTTTTTTGCTTAAATCGCGATTAATCGCCCAAAGTGACACGATTTTTATGACATAGATACTTAGACGTAATGTCTTTGGCGTATTTCTATTTTTACAAACTTTTTTAAAACCTAATTTTCCTAAACTTCCGTAGAAAAAACATTGTTCGAATAATTTTAAAACAGCATTTTTAAAGATAATTTGACAAGTTCTATCCAATCATGTTGAAAAAAGCGCCAACAAAAAAAAAAAGATTTACTCAAATTTCGTATTGTTGGCACCTAGAAAAGAAATTTCAACTAAGAAAATATTTTTTTCAATCATTCTATTTAACGATTATGCAAACACACTAACCAAAAACACTTGTGTTTTTTCTTATTTTTTTTAATATAGTTTTCGATTGATATTTTCTGGCTTCAAATAGTGATGTATAAATTTTCTTCGAGATTAATAGTACACAGTACAAATCTTTGTTATTCTATATGAAAATAACATGCAATACAAAAGTCATTGCAGAAATGTCAAACTCTGCTAGGTCATATTGTTCACTTGAAAACCAATCGAATGTTTTTGTTTCTGAAAAGAACTATAAATGACCTACAAATTTTATAGTTCTCCTGAACAAATCTGAGAAGCGCTGATTTCTTAAAAAAGCTCTTTTCAATACTATATTTGAGAGCACATGTACCTTTAATTCTTTTTTTTTTTTATAAAATATTGCTTTTTCCGATGCAGATTGAATTATTTGCCGTTGCTCACTATTTGGTCGTTTTGCAATGGTAATAAATACTTTTTTAGATTATTTTTTATTTCAATAAGTTTCTACAACATAAAATATTCTGAACAAATAGTGCAGTTTTTTCAATCAAGAGCCTATATAAAACATTCGCTTAACAAAGTTAATATTGATAGAAGTTTTTCGTTCACTACGTTTTGATGTTTTGTTAAAATTTCGTTGTATGTAGTTCAAAATAATTAAAACATACGCATTTATAAAACAGCAAAAATCTTGTTTTTTGGAAGTTTTTAGTTTTTTTAACGTTTCTCAGATTTTGGAAAAAAATGTGCTGTACAAAATTCATAATTTACAGATCGCTCTTTTAAATAAAAGAAAAAACTTGTTTAGTTAAAAATTAAGCAATATGATCTAGCAGAGTTTGATATTCGTGTAATGTACGTTAGTGATGACAAAGAACAAAATAATTATAAATAATACAGAATAAATAACAACGGTCTAATCCTTTTATTTATTGTGATCAGAAACAAGTTCAAGGATAATTCTTCTCATGAAGGAAGGTCCCCAACTAATCCACGCCGTTTTCAATGATATTTTGTCCATATGTCAGGGACAGTATTCTAAAAAAGTTGTAAGAGGATTTGGACCAATGGTGCTTCTTTCGAAGGTTATAACCATTTCACTCATTTTTCCACTTAGCACAAGATATACAGGGAAAAATTGAACAACGGAATTTCAATCTAAAGTTTTGCTCATATGTAGCTCTTGTAGTCATTAGAGCACTGTAAAAATTTCAGTGGAGAAAAATATTTCCTTCTGGAGATATTGATTTTTAAAAATTTGTCTCATAATCTATAAAGTCCTGAAAGATTGACTTTTATCAAAATTTAATATTTTCAAAAGGAAACATTTCTTTTCCACTGAAACTTTTAGAATGTTCTAACAACCACAAGAGCTACATATGAGCAAAATTTCAGATTGAAATTCTGTTGTTCAATTTTCCCTATAAACTCTGTGCTAATTTAAATTGTAGAATAATTGAACTATATTTATTCTTCATATGGAAGTATCAAAGAATATTGAACATAATTATATTTCATAGAAGTGCAATATACAAATATTATAAATAAACATTGATCTTTTGTCATTCAAATTCAATCTAACTTAGCAATCAAAAAAACAAAGAAAATTTTTATTTTTATCACTTGATTTTCTTGCTCAATAAAATCCTAATAATATATTTAACCAATTATATCTTGAGTAATATTTTTTTTTTTGTTAGTTAAAAAAAAAATGAAAAGAAGACTTGTCTAGATTTTTCATATAAATCACATAGATGCAAATTTTTTTCTGTATCCTATCAATTATAGTCACTGTTCATATATTTGTTTTATATTATTATTTAAAGTTTAAATACACTTGCTGATTGTCGAATACCATTGTAGACTAATATATTATCAATAGGTACATATTGATGTGTAATTAATTTAATTGCTTCTTGTGCACAACATCCACCAATAAAAGCTGATATTGAATGAAGTTCTGATGCACCATATCGACATAATTCTTCAAGAATATTTTCTCTTATAGGATTTTGTTGTCTATCACAATTTAATAATTGTTTTCCAACTTGTTTTAAATCATTGAAATCTATTTCAAGTTGTCTTTGATCGATATTGATTTCATTTGTTGATAAAGGAAATTCACCAGGATAACGTTTAAATTTTTCATAAAATAAATCACATAAACGCAAACCAATATACCTAAAATAAAAATACAAGATTAATACTGTTTTGATCAAAAAAAGAAAAATATTAAAATTATATAAATTATTGTTTTGTTAAAGATAAACAATATATATATGTATTTCATTTCTAATATTGATATCCATAAGAATAGATTGTGTATCTCATCATCAACAACTGAGATTGTCGAAATGAAGATTATCGAATGTCTTTTGATCATCTATGTTCATAAATTTCGTTTCAGTAATCATTCCTTACGTTCACTCTTTCTCAATGTTTATCATATATATATATACTTCAGGTATCATGTCTAAATATTGCCGATAGTTACATCATCGAAACGCCAATTACCGAATTTCGGTGAAGAGCATTCTAACTCATTGAATTACCGCATACCATCATGTTTGTTTCAGTTATTGATCGTTCTTGTTTTCATATTACACTTCACTAATGTCAAACATTAGAACTTTCATGAGAATATGATTCGATATTAATTGAGAAAGAATCAAAAAAAGAAAAATTAAATAAATAATTTACCAAGAAATATCTGATTCGAATTCATCTGATGATGATTCTAATGGAATTTGTTCAATTTGTTTTTGTAATAAATCATCTTCATTTTTAATTGATGTTGTTCTTAGAACATTTAAAAATGATGCATTTTTACAATAAATATGAACAAGTTCATGTAAAGTTGCTTGTTCATTTGATGTCATTGTTGAAAATCGATTATGTTCTTTTAATAAATCAATTAAATAATTATAAATTATTTCACAATCTTTTTTAGCTTGTTCTTGATATATTTCAACTAATTTAACATATGAATTTGTATTTGTTATCATATCAGGTACTTCACCACGAACAGGTAATAAACCATGACCTTCATTTTGTGTGAATAATTTCATTGCATTTATAATAAACCAAAACATATGAGATTGATTTGATAATTCTAAACAACAACGATCATGAAATAAATTATTTATTATTAATGATAAATTTGTATTAACAAGATGTGATGGTATTGTTCGTTTAGCTTCTTCAAAATTTTCTACATGTTTATTTAAATCATTTATATCATATGCTGAATGATTTGATAATTGTTCAAGAATTTGTTTAAATTCATTTTTTTCTTGACGTGTATGTGGTAAATCAGTACGATTAGTTTGTTTTTGCCAATATTGTAATGCTTTATATTGAATAATAAGTGATGGTATATGTAAATGTTCTTCACGTGTTAAATTATTAAAATCAATTGAATTACAATGATTAATAAATGATTTTAATGGACGATCAAGACGAAGATCAGGTATTGTATCATCAGGATGAGCTTCAATAATATAATGTTCAACTACTTGAAGACGAATTGTACCAATAAAACTAAAGAAAAAATAAATAAATAACCAACAAAAATAAATTTCTTTCTTTTTCTTTTTGATTACCCATAAGTACGAGCAACAAGTAAAGGTATTTTAAGTGTCCATAAATGATTAGCAAGTATAACTAATGTATTTAATGGAAGATTAGCTGTAATAACAACATTAAATTGACTAAAATCAAATGTATTTTGTTTAAGTAAATCATCAATTGATGGTTTATCAATAAATATACCATGTACATCAGGATTAAGTTGTTTTAATAATTCACAAGTAACACGAGCACGTGATTGATCAATCATAGATGGATGAACAAAAAAATTTGATCCACAATCAGCTAATGTTACTAATTGATGATCAATTATTGTAAATGAACCAAGACCAGGTAAAACAAGAGCTTTAAGAGTTTCAGTACCTAATGCATTAGCACCAATTAAACATACACGTCCACCTTCTAAAGCTTTTTGTCCATGATCACCCCAAAGACGAAGTTGACGATCATATTGAATTTGTTTTGTATCTGGACCGGATACTTTACTCATCTTAATCTTAAATAATGAAAAACACTATCGAACAAAAATTTTTCAATATACATTGAGAAATTTGGATTCTCTTTTGAAACAAAAAAAACAGGACTGTTGTAAAAAGATCCTCATTGAGTTTCCTTTAAGTTTCGTTCTTTTTCGTCTAAAAGATTCATATTTCAGTTTTTGATCGAGTCAATTATAGATCTTGATCGGAAGGAGCGAGATGCTAGTTCCTTTCCACTTTTCATATTATGTCTGCAAAACTATTGAGAAACTACCAAAAACTGTCTGCTAAATTCTAACAGACATTTCTGCATACTATACGGACTTTGTCACTCCTGAAAATTATCGAGTGCTATGGGGTCAATATTGTACTGAAAATTTTCTTCTTACGAGAAACCTACACGAACTGATACCTGCCGTTTTACCTCATATTAGCTTGACAAGGAGGTCTCGGTAAGGTTAGAAAAAACCTAAAAAGATTCGTACCTATAGACCTCTGGAACCGAGTTATGATCGTTTGATTGAATTTTTGACCCTACTTTAGATATTTACCGAAAAATCCAATGACGGCATTTCGATCTGAAATTTTCCTCACGGATAGGTCTGATGACTTAAAGAATATCCTGAAAGTTTTAGTCCAAAAGAATATTCCTTTGTCAAGATATTGAATTTTCAAGTAAACTTGATTTTTTGAGACAAACGACTATTTTTTGAAAATTTAACACGTCAAAAAAGAACTATTCATTTCGGCTGAAACTTTCAATTTACTTCCAGAGTCATCAGACCTATCCTGTGGGCAAAACTTCAGATTGAAATGCCATTATTGAATTTTTTGGTAAATATCTATAGTAGGATCAAAAATTCAGTAAAATGGTCATAACTCGGTTTCAAAGGTCTATAGATATGAACCTTTTTAGGATTTTTCTAGTCTTACCGAGATCTTCTGGTGAACTCAATACAAGTTCAAACGGCGCGTATCACTTCTGGCAGTTCCCTCGTTAGTAGAAAAGGAAAAATAATTCAAACATTTTTTTTATTTATCAGATGATATATATTAGTTTAGTTAAGATCAAAATTTATTTGTTTTTCTTGAAAGAGAATAAAAACACAAACGATCATGTGCAATATAATAAAGTTGAACTAAATTTTCATTTCTGAATATAATATTAATTAATTCAATAAACAAAGAATTTAAAAATAATTCTACATACTACAATACAGTTATTTCTGTTCTATTTATTAATTCAACAATTAATCTATATCATTCAATCAAGTTTCCTTATTGATAATTATTCTTTCAATATCTAGAGTGAAATTAAAACTTTAAATTATCAAAAAAAAAAAATATTTCATTATTTTTCTTATATAATATATATATATATATAAAATATTAATATTTTATAAATGTAAACAATTCTATAAATACAAATAAAATCGATTTTAATCACTATCTTCATCATCATAATTAACACCGGTTGCTGCTTTACGTCGTTTAATAGTCGGATTAATTAAACTCTTTGGTGTATGTTCTTGTGATTTCATCATATTAATTTTTTGATTATTTGAATCAAGTAATTTATTATCATCAAAAATTCGATTCGTACCACTTGAACGTAATTGTTCACGTTCTGTTTTACTTGATAATTCTTTTAAACGTAATTGTTGTGTTTTAATTTCAGTTGATAATTGTTCATTACGTTTATAAATATGTAAAAGAATTTTACTTAAAAATGAAGCTTTTTCTCCATCATTAATATTTTCATAAAGTTGAAGAGTTATTGATTGTTTATTTTTTGGATGTGTAAATGTTACATTAATTTGTGAAACTTCATATTGACTATCACTATTTGTTATTGAAGCTTTAGCAAGAGTAAAATCCGATTCATTTATACGTTCAGAAAGAAAAATCATTGTTTCACCAAGTTCTGTTATATCTAAAAGACGTGCATTTAATTGAAATGCACGTTCATCTAATGCTGTTGACCATATTGTAACAGATTCTAATTTATCCAAACATGCAATTAACTAAAGAAAAGTTGTTGTTTTTTTTTTGAAAAAAAATTCTTTTTACTTGTAATGTTTTTGTTTTCGTATCAATCAATGAAGCAAATATAATATCATCACTATGCGAACCAACTTTCAATGATTTTCGTGTAACAATATAATCAAGATTTGATTTACGAAGAAGTTCAACAAATGCTGACGACATTCTAATACATATGTTTATCTAGAATAAAATAATGATTTTTATAGAAAAATTTTCAACAAAAAAAAAAAGAAAAACATTTAATTTTGTTTTTAATTCTGTCAATTAAGAAAGTCTTTCTTGAAGTTCATCGATGGATAGTGTATCGACTTGAAAAACTTCAGCAAATGGTTGAATATTACCAGTTGGATTATGAGCTTTCATAGCATTATGATCATTAATAATAGCAAAAACTATGTATTTAAATGATTTTTTATATTTTGTTGCAATTACTTCATGAAATAACTGTGCTATAATAGAATGAATAATAATAATTAATATAATATGTAACTATCATTGATTCTTACCAATATGTTTTGGAGGATTTTGAAAAGCACCACTAAATAAAAAAAAATGAATTTATTTTGATATAGAAATTATTATACATCTATGAAAATGTCAATCAGAATGAATTAATTCAAAGTAATTATCAAAAACAACTAGAAATTTTCGTCATTAAATAATAAATAAATTCGAAAAAAAAAACAACAACAAACGAATTGTTCTGTAAGAAAATCCATCTTCTTAATATCGAGCATCACTATATACCGAATACAACTGATTTTTCATTGTTTTCCCATTAGCAATGTTATAATCGACTATACATTTTTAAGATACTAATTATATATGATATTCAATATCTAAGTATTGTGATAAAAGTATTATATAATAATTCGCTAATCATATTCAGACCTGAAGTAGGTATCGAATACAAGATGGATCTGGTTTTTTTTTGACAATTGAAGAAAATTCAATCGATTTCAAGTCTCTCATATATATGTTTCATATTTCAAATAGGATAATTATTTCTTTTTTTGTTTTGTTTTAATATTCATTTAATACTTACCATCCTAATGCTGATAATATTAAAATATCATGTTTATTTTCGAGTGCAATTTTGAAAATACTTTCCATTTTATTTTTCATATTTTGTATTATATGTTTACCACTTAATTTCAATTCTCCATTTTCATCTGTTTCTGTTGGTGGATGAGAATAAGCTGCACAAGCAATAAATGAAATATATTCTGGACCATTCGGGAAAAATGGATAACCATTAGATTCTGAACCACGAAAAACACTTACATTTGGAGTATAAACACCACCAAACTTTAAAAAAAAAACAAATTGTTTTTTCCTTCTTGGCATAAGTTTATAAAAAAAAAAAGGGTAAAACTTACTTCAGGTATATGATAATCCCAATTTCGTTGACCTTCTAATTCATGATAAGGATCTTCAAGACATTGAAACATATTTGTACGACGATGAAGATTTTCTTCTTGTGCACCAGCACCTAGATATAATAAAATATAATTTAATATTATCAAATATATATTCAAATAAATATACCATTTTTCCAACCACCACCAGGCTTTCTTGCTGAAGCCATATTTAATACAACTGGATTCGATTTTGGATATTTATCTTTGAAATACATGACAACATCAAGACAATCACCATTTATAACAAATATTTGACATGATTGTTCGTTAGTATATTGTTGAAATGTTGTATCATAGTCATAATCATTACCATATTGTCGAGTATTTTGAGCTGCATATGCCATTCTATTCTTGTCTAAATTTATTTTAGCACCATTCGGAAGTCGATAGAATCTAAGTAAATTAACAAAATAAGACTATGTAAAAAAAAAAACTCGCGATTAAATTTTATTTGTACCCATTGCATACAGCATTGATTGTTTGTATTTGTACCATTTTACGCATCATACGTCGTGTATTTGGACGAATAGTTGTCGAATTCCATACATTTGCAAAATCCTCATGACTATGTAAATAATTAAGAGCCAAATTACGTGCATTATCATCATTTCTTAAAGATTCGAGTTGTTTGCATAAAGAACAAGTATCTGTTGGATCTTTAAGTGATGATGGAATTTGTATATCGAATGGTGCACTAAGTGACTGATTTTTTCGACGTCTTCGTCGATCATTATAATAATTTGCACTGGCCATAATAAAAATCAAGAGTAAATTGGAAAAATAATGGTCTTTCAAAAGTTACAAATGACTTAAATATATGTATTATTTCATAACTAATATGATATTTGTGAAATTCTTTTACGCGAATATTAAATTAGAATAGGAAATGATACATATACTAATTACATATTGATAGGTAATCAGAATTTCACAATTATCTATTCATTATATTTTATGAAAACATTACAACCAATTTTATTTTCCCTTTCTTCATTTGTTGGTTGTCAATAATGAATCACCTGAAAGAAAAAAAAACTCTGTTTTCCATTCAAGACAATGTACTGCAATTACATAAAAGGATAGAGGGCGCACGTCATTTTTTAAGATTATTTTATCGGTTTCATTTAGTAAAAAAGAAAAAGTTTCTCTATTTTTCAGTAAAATAAATTGCATCACTATATATCATTCAGGACTTTAATTGATATAGGTTTAGATGAAAGAACAATTCTATCTACAAAATAAGATTTCAGTACTTCGACAGGATACACATCCGCACACTCTCAATCACATGCAATGTTGTGCATTGTGCGTTCAAATGAATAAGTATATGATCAGAGAAATTAGCGAATAGGATGTGTACATCTCATAGAATAACTAAGATTTCTTAGAAATCCTAATACAAATAGAAGAATTCTAATATTATTTTTGATTAACAAATTCTGAAAAACTTTGATTGTATTGATTTATATTCGAAAGAAAAAAATTATAATAAAAGTAGCATTAAAGATTTAATTAATTTCTAAATGAAACGATTCAGTTCTTATGCGATAGATATAGTGATATTCACAAACGAATGAAAAAACTATTATAACTTATCATCGTCTAAGACTTTAGTTTGATTTAATGTTTTAGACTACAAGCATTTTTACTTCAAATCTTGTCCAATATCAACTAATGAAAGAAAAACAATACAGCTTATTCATATAAAAGATTACAAGTTTAATGCACATTTGATTTGAAAGATTATATCATTATTTTCAACAAAGCATCGTTTGCAGAGATTTCATTATTTTAAAATTCAATAAATAAGAATAATAACAGTTGAAAAGATATTGTTGATTTTTCATGATATTATGATTGATATCCATAGGCGGCGGAAGCCATTAGGCTTGGGTAGAATTACACCTACCCAAGCCTAATGGCTTCCGCCACCTATGTTGATATCTAAACCTAACTGTGAAATTTTTGTAAATTAAGATATAAAAAAATAGTGCTCTAAATCCTGCACTACAATACTTTGATGAGTTAAATTATATAAATAGATTCTAGTCAAAGTAAAACAATAAAAAAATGGTGAAATTGAGTTTCGACAAAAACTTTTCTGCTAAGAGAATGTAATACTTATGAGCTTCAATATGAAGATAATATTTCTGTAGAAATATTTGCTGATTTTATGGTACAAAAACTTTTAGAAATGAATTAACACTGCGTAGGATGTTTTCTTTTTATTAGGAAACAAACTCATTAGCCACTAACACATTGTCTATATTTTTGAACAAGTTATGATTGTAATTAATGAAAAAATGTTGTTTCTTGGAAGTTTAATTATAAAAAATTTGTATATTAAGTAATTGATTTTTATAGTACTGAATTTATTGAATTTCTTTTAGTTCCGATGAACTTCGACTATAATATCTATTCTCTTTTAATCATTAATTCTTTAATATATTCATTTTTACTCAGGTTTTGTCCTTGAATTTGCTACTTGAATTCTCATATTCTGCTTTTCTTGAGGTTCAAAAATAATTAACAATTTTCATTCATCTAGAAAAAAAAAACTAACTTATTAACTATTTATTTTTATCTCGGCAAAAATGAATATATTTTTGTTTAATTATAATTTCAATTTTCTGTCTTTTTTTTTTTTTTTAAAGAAACAAACGAAGATAGAAAGAGAGAGTAATGTCTCTTCTCAAGTCAAAATAAAAATAAGAAGTCTATAAGAGATAAGAATGATGTTTTTCTGCTCGAATAAAAAGATGAATTAGATTTAATATTTGCTTAATCCTATATGAATAAGATTACTGATTATATAGAATTATGTTTATCGAAAGTCTGCTCAGATAGAAGATAATAATTAAGTTCATACATAAAATCCAATCTAAATTAAATCAATATAATTGATAATAATTACATTTGTTTATTTAAATATATTTTATCATATTCAATAGATATTTTATTTATATTTCAGTGTAGTGATCGATTTTAAAATTTTATCAATGAAAATAATTATCAAATATAATTATTAGAAAGTTAATTCTTTGAATGTTAAACAAAATAAATGTTATAAATCGTTAATGTCGAATAATGTTTTAATTTTTTAAAATTTTATTGTGAATATATAAGTTTGATATGAATGTTTGTCTTTGAAAAAAAGCAAATATGATGATTCTTAAAATCTTTTTTCATCATAGTTTTTTTTTATACCTATATGCGCTCGAAATGTTTACTTTTTTTTCCGAATAGACTTTCCGTTTTGTCTATTAATAATGTATATATATATTTTTTTTTGTATCTACAAAATATCATTTTTTTATAAAGAAATTTTAAAATTAATTTATACTATTTCGCTGAATGTTGTTGTTTGTATAGTAAATAAAGAAAAAAATATTTCAAATTTTTATTCAAAAAAAAAACAATATGTTTCTTTTCTTTTGATTTTTTATAGAATTATTTGATAGAAAAAGGTTAAAATTTGAATGAACATTTCCTAGTTGTTTTCAATGTTATCTATCTAGATCTATTGCTTGTTCCCATTCGATGTCTATCATTTCTTTGATATTATACATTGTTAACCTTCAGATTATTTTCATACATTTTTATGATCTAAAAAAATACAAGTACCGGATATCACAATCAATATGCACATCATGTTGTAGTATAGTTTTATTTCTAATAAAAATGAACAAAAGAATAAAGTAGTATGCTTACGATAGTTGAGAATTGATGTTATTAAAAAAAAGAATGTCTCGTCCTTATATTAATTTATTCCTTACTTTTCCCTTTGACTTGATGAACCTATTGTAAATAGAGGCAAAAAAAAAAGAAACAGCTCGCTCTATAGAATTTATTTAGTAGTCATTGTATAAAAGACCCTATCATTTACAAAACATCAATAAACAATTGTACCAAATATCAAAAGAAATCTAACTACACGATATTATTGATTCGAAAGAAGAGATAGAATATATATTGTAGATCGAGAGAGAGAAAAAAAAGAGAAAGAAAAGAAAAGCAGAAAGTATTTCATTTTATTATTTCCTTCGGACACACTCATATTTCTTGATAATCATCATCATGTCATCATCAACAGGTATAAACTTTTTCTTTTTTTTTCTTTATGCTTCTTATTTGACTTTGGATTAATTTGTCAAGGTATTACTCAACATGTATCTAGTATTGTAAAGTTAAATCGGTTTTTAATCTTGACAGTTACTCTTATTGGTATGTTGTCGTATTATTTATAAATATTAATTATTTCTTTCTTATTTTAATTAGTTTGTTGTTCGTGTATTTATTCGAAACCAATAGATCTCGATCAATTACAAGAATATGAAGTTATCAATAGTCATCACCCAATTATCTTATCTCGATCTGAGTGGGATTTAGTTCAACGAGCAGCACCACGTCTTGGTCGTGCTTCACCTCGACTTGGTCGTGCTTCACCTCGACTTGGTCGTGCTTCACCTCGACTTGGTCGTGCTTCACCCCGACTTGGTCGCGCTTCACCTCGACTTGGCCGTGCTTCACCACGTCTTGGTCGACATGTCGTTGATTTGATGTCACGATTAAATCACCTTGGTCAATATTATAATGTAGATGATGATTATATTAGCAACGATGATCCATATGAAATCGAATATTTGACGCATGAACAACGAGCAGCACCAAGACTTGGACGTGCCATTAAACTTGATCAACATCGATAATATGCTTGAATAAACACTAACCTACTATATTTAAGTATTATTGATTTATATGAGATATTTACAGAGAGAGAAAAATGAAACAAATCTGTAGAAAATCTATGAAAATCAAGTCGTAATCATGTTTCACATTTTATTATTAATATTGTTGATTATTGTTTGAAATTTATTACAAAGCGTGTGTGTGTGTGCGTAAGAACAAACTACAGAAATTCAATGAGAACAAATCATATTATTCCATATTAAACAAACAAATAATCATTTAAGAGTGTAACAAAAAAAAACAAAGATTAAAAAGCGAAATAAGCATAAATTCTAAAAGAGAACAATTTGTGATAATACTCAAACATAACTTTAGTATTAATGACAATGATTCGAAGAATGATGGAGAAATGTGTCCTACTAATATCTTTTTACTAATAATCATCTTCACTTTTTGATAGATCAAATAAAAATAAAGATAACGTTCAGGTTGTAAATCACGAGTCAAACAATCTTGAAATGAATAATATTGATTCATATAGTACCATAATATTATATTTCTTTTCATCATCATGAACAAGAGAAAAAAAATTATTTTAACCAAATAATTGTTGATAATAATTTGGAATTTTATGGTCAGATTGATCAACACTAACATCTGTTACACAATAGAGTATGTTACTCGTAATCGAAAGAAATACTTAGTTTATTTCTTAAAAAATCATGACTTCAATCTCTTATCACTTTGCAAAATCTATTGCATAACAAAAATTATGTTCAATCATATTACTAGTCAGTTGTTTAATTTGTTCAATTAATGTTGTTTTTGTCGATTTTCATGTACTCAAAAATCGAACAAGTTTTCCAATATTTTTATTTTCTTGTACATCCTTGCTCATTATTTATTTTCATTATCATATTTGTAATCTGATTTTGATTGATTAACAGCAACAAGTAGATGATTAATATTAATTAATGATTATTGTTTATGATCACAGATTAGAATTTATTGTTGAATAAGTGAATGAATAGTTTCTTGATATTGATGAATTATTTTTATTCAAC